AACTGCACCTTCATTTTGTAGTGCAGATATATCCTGGAAGCTTTGACATAGGAAATGCATAGGAACTGCAGTAATGTGAGATGTGATGGGAATATAGTCCAATTTAACCTGAGAGAATTTGGGTCAGGGTTCCTGGTGGGAGTGACATTATCTCGGTTTGGGCGGGGGAGGGGGTAGGAGACATTTGATGGTAAAGGGAGTAGTAGGTAGACTTGGCAGCTTGGAAGAGGTTGCATGGCAGGGCTGGGACCTTACCTGGTGGAGCTACGCTGAATTTTCAACACACCATAATTTTTTGAGCAGGTGGGCGTTACCTGTGAAAGGTTAGGGTCACTTAGGCCACAACTATACTGTGTCCCTGCTGAGTTTGGGACTGTTGCTAAGAACCAAGCCCTGCCCACTTGCTTTTGCCCAAGGCTGAAAATTAAGCACCCAAGGTGGCTTTGAAGGGCCCTGCGTGTGCCACACTTTCCTGAGACAGAGAGCCATTCTCAGAACATGCCTAACACACACCCTCTGGCCTGGGACTCATGAAATTATGTGGCAGCTCCTTTTCTTTTTAAGCTGCTGGTGCCCACTACCTTTTAGATAAGAGACTGTTGCTTAGACCACTTACAAAGAAAGTAGGAGATCCAGGCTTAATGCTCTTTTAAGATTGAAGGGGATCAAACCCACATCTCTGCCCCCCCCTCAGGTGAGTACTCTAACCACCAGGCTGCAGGCTACATTGTGTTGGGAGTGAGCATCTTCCACCTTTCCTGTTGAAGCTGTGCACTATACAGAAAAAACATGTAAAATTATTTGGGCCAGAGGGAGCAGGACTCTGCTGCCTAGTGGTTATGATACTCTTAGCAGGGGGAGAGTCCTGGTCTTTGTTTCCAGGACTGTTTCTGTATTTCACATTAAACAGTGATTGAAAGAAGTACAGAACCAGCATGGGGATACTCCAGTTGGGCACCTAAAACTCAATGCACAAAGAATCTCTAGTGATCTTTGCAAATCTTGGCTGATAGCTTCTAGGAATGTATGCCAAACTGAATGCAAAAAGAGATGTGTTACAAACAGCCAGACGAGGGGATAGAAGAGGATAAAACAGGGGATTTGATATCCATCTGGACATTTTTGGAAACTGAAAGCATTAACTGGAGGACGGGGAGGTGAGGCAGGAGTAATGATCTTAAATTAAACTCAGGAAAGTTAAACTTAGCAATTGCAAAAGAAATTCCTCATAGTTTGAGTAAGTAAGGGAGTGCTGAAAGCCTGTTCTTGGAGTCCCTTAACTGGAACAAATACATGGAAAATGTTTAGTGAACAATCCTGTATTGGCATTCAAGATGGACTGGATGACCTAATGGGCCTGGTTTTCAAAGGCACCTTAATCTAGCCTCCAATTTAGCACCTGCAGTCAGTCACAAATGCAATTCTTCAGACACAATTGATGCCATTTAACTGTCCAACTGCCTGATTTTTGAGTGCAGTCAAGAAGATTCTGAATGTCATTGGCAGCTTCTACATTATTTGCAAAATGGCTACAGCCCCAATGGACTGTGAGTTATAAGGGCTGTGGACTGCTTTTTAAAAAAATCAAATAAATATGATGTTTCTAGCTCTCACTTCAGTGTTTCTAGGAGACTTTAGACAGAATTCTACCATCACTGACATCCACTGAATGGGACGGCATGGCTGTAACTGGGCCTAGGATCTACAGGTTTTTTTAAAATGAAGAAACAGAGGTCAACTGCCCTGACCACTGGGAAGAGGCATGGCAAACACTACTCATTCACTCTGTGCTTAATTAATATCAAGAAGATAAGAGAATAGACATAAAGTTGCCTTACGCCACCTGATCTCCTGATATCATTAAGTTTTCCCCAATCCAGTGCAAATCCTGGCATGTTGCTGAAATCTGATCTAGCTCATCATCAAGCCAGTTTTGAAGGAATCTTGGCACTGTGCATGTGCACGTGAGTTTCGGTGTACACAGATGTGTGAAAGGCAGACTGCTTCCAACTGAAATGATTCATATATTATGGTGTGTGCCCTTGTGATTTAAGGATAAAGGTCTAAAAATGCAAAGATTTAGGTCAGTTCCTAATCATTTCCTTAACTTTTCATCAAGTTTTGAGGCTTCTTTTCTCTTCGCATACTCTTCCTCACTTTCTGTCCTTGCTGTATGGCAGCCTGTGGTGGTTTAAATGCTGCCTTTTAATAAACAGGCTAGCCAGCCCCAGAGTAATGCTTCAGGGAAGAGCTGTATGACAGTTCATGAAATAAGCCACAGTTTATATTATTGGAAAACATTCTTCTGGTTCAGCTCTAACAGGAATATTGCATTTTCCATTTCATCTCCTTAACAGCTTCCATCTCTTCCTTGAGCAAGGATATTATTCCTGTTTCCCATCTGAGAGGCAGAAGGGAACAACTGAGATAGTATAGGGGCTGGTAGAAATGGGGCTGTGATAGACATGCATTGGCCTGTAGCAGCAGAACAGAGATCCTGACACTCCAAAGTAGACTATTACAGACTATTACACGGAGTCCTTCTACAGCTGCAGAATCCTGGTCTTTTACTTTAAATATGCGAACAGTCCAAGTGATGTGAATGGAAGCTATTGCATGCTTTAACTTAAGTGCTTTACTAGTTTCATCTAAAAGATGCTTCGAAGGCAACCAAAACCTACCAATAAAACATATATCTAACTGTGTGATGCTGTATGCAGAGGGAATTGGAAGTGACTCCTGTCTACCATAATCCTGAAGCCTGAGAGTTGGTTATTCTTCTCTCAGCACAAATACCTACAACCAGTCAGCAACAATACATAGTCTTCAAGCACATGGCAATGTCTCTGGTAAAACCTTACTGGTGAAATGTGTAACATACCTATGACAATGTTACAGAAGTAGTCAAGAAAAGCATCTCAAGCTGGAAATCAGTTTGGGGCTAGTTCTGGTCCCCTCCTTTGTACCAAGTCCTGCTTTCTTAGCAGACACACAGGACCCCATTGCTGAGTGCAATCATCTGTGCCTACTGTGCAGAATACAACCCCCTGCCCATGGGGTAATAAAATCAATCTAATTTGATGGTGCTTAGCAATGGCTTGACTTTAACAGAATGTACAGTACCAGCACTTAATTCAATTAACTTTAGACTGGGTTGGGATAACACAAGCACAAGACAGCACGAGAGAGGCAGATTTGCTAATTTAATGATATTAAGGAAAGGGGCTTGTTGTTATTTCAAAATTAATGTCTGAGGTAAAACAACTGGGCTTTGCTTCACTTGATGCTTAGAGTCAGAACGAGTTTCAGTCAGACTCAGGAACCTCAGATCATAAAAAGAATTCCCAGTATTACAGTATCGGCTCACTCTGCATATGCAAAGTGCTGACTGATGTTCTAGGAAAGTACGAACTAATTAATTTTATAGTCAAAAGAGCCTGGGCTAATAAAATCCCCTTTTTTCGTTCCACAGAGAGAGAGAATAAGAGAGCAATTGTGGTGTAAGAAATAAATATAGTTAAGTACATTGAGTTTGTCAAAATGCAAGGCTGGGAGTTTAATTGGAAATATTCATATGTACACTCAGGCACACTTGAGCTGAGTCAGTTTGGTTAGGAATAATTAAAACTGGATTTGGCACAGTTGTCATGAGAGTCACAGATTGTACAAGGGTTTTTTTTGTTTTTTCCAGTGGCTGCAATTTTAGCAATCTCTGCATGCTTGTTAATGGGTGTGTGCGGGCAGATAGGGAAGGGACAAGTCTACAGAACTTTGCACATATGAGGAGTTACTAAATTGCAAAAATTGTCTATTGACAGTGTAGTATGGGGTGCATTGTTGCCAAAATCAGCTGTATATTTTTGGTATCTAAATGACAAATACTTTTTTTTCTACATGCCATATTTAGAAAATCTGTCCTCAAAACCCTTTAGAAAGCAGCTGAGGAGACAAGCTAGGAAGTGATGAGGGAGCAGAACATCTTCAATAACAGTGAAGGGATAAAGGAAAGCAGCAGATTCACAGTGAACCTAGCAAACCACTAGTGGATCACCAGAGCAATATGGGGATGAGTAAGCAGGGAAGAGGGCTAAGACCTCTCTTGAAGAGTTGAAAAATCCAAGCATTTACCTCCCAACAGCTACAGACCAGGGACAAGCCAGCTGGGAACATCAGGCACCCAAGAAATGAAGAGCTGTTCTCAAAACTTTGAAGCTCTTGGGGGACCTGACTATGCTAACATAGTTCAGTAGCTAGACAGCATGTCCGTGATGTCTCAAATTGTTCCTGAAGCTTTGGACAACTTATAACATTTGTACTACAATTTCTCTCTGAACTTTTCCTACATCTACCATGACAAAACCTATAGCTGCAAGAGCTATTACAGAAGATGATTAGTAGTGAACTTTTGGCCAGTTGTGTATCAGTTTAATATCTGTTTATTAGTTGGCTATACTCTGCTGAGGCAGGGGGATGAATCTAATTCTATAGGTATAGCATGTCTTTACCAGGGCATGTTATTTTTGTGAGAGCTGATGCTATGTTGTGTGTAGCTCCCAGAAGTACACATACAAGATCCATGAGTGTCCCACTTCAAGAAGAAAAAGAGGTAGAGCGAAAGGAACTCACCATATCCAAAGAGAGCCATCTTAATTCCTTTCAAGCGGGAGACTCGGGGAGTTAGCAACGCTCCTATGCATTTTCCCAGTCATTCCCAATTCAGTTTGGAGTGAGCTAGTGCATCTATACGTTCCATATGGTTTAAGATAAAATGCCCACAAGACAACTTCTGGAGACTGGAGTGGTCTAACTCCATTGACTTCAACAGAGTCACATCAGAGACTAATTTGACCCAAGGAGACATCTTCACAGTATATGAACCACAAACATGGTATTAAAAAAGAAAAAGAAAGGGGGGAAAAACCAGGAAATCTGGACTCTTGCCCAGCAGAAAGCCCCACCAAACCCTCACGTCACCTATCATGGCATATGCTGCTGGTTACCTTTTTGCTTACTGACTTTCCTTACTGTCATTGCCGCTTGTCGCTTTTGATTTTCAGAAATTTCAAAGCCTGGAAAAGGGAACATGGCAAACGATTCAGAAAATTGCTTACTACTTGGCCTCTCTGGAATATTTCTTCATGCACCATTTATCACACAACTAACCCTTGAGGAACAAAGCACTACCTGGTGCGGCTGCCCACATGGAGAAACATTTGAACAAAAAACAGATCTTATTTTAAAATGAAGCCTCCTTATAACATCAACTGGAAGGCTGGGGGGAGGGGACAGTGGGAGGAGTTGCATGGAAAGCAACCTTCCTGCCTCTAAGTAGTGTTATGCTGTATCATAAATATAAGCAGTGCTTTATGGATAATGGGACTGATTCTAATCTTGGCTGTAGCAGCCATATGTGCTGACGCAGAAAGGAGGGCAAGGCTAACAGATCAGCAGTATCCTTGGCCTTTCTTCCTACTCAGGAGGTGCCTAACTAGGGCAGAAGTTATATAGCCAGGAGGCCTAGATGCCTCTCCGGGCACAGGACTTCCTGATTCCTCTCTCCTACATCTGGACAGAGGCTTGATGCTAAGGGTAAGATTTGCTCCTAAGCAAACAGAAATGCAATACTAGTAACTGAATGGAAGAATGGTCAGGACCAAGCATTATTAGCTGGTACCTATTCCCTGACAGTGAGATAAGCCAAGGATGTTAGAATGAAATTTATTGGTAGTTCTAATGCACAATAATTCACCCTTCTCCTTCAGATAGAGATAAACCAAATGCCATCAGCACCCACCCATTCATTTTGAATCCCTTACCTATCTTTTCATCTTCTTGTACCATCTTCCTTTCTTCTCTGAAAGCTCTCAGCCATCGCAATTTCTCTTCCAGCTTCTTGGCAAAGAATAAGTGCATTTCATCAGTCTCCTTGTTATGAAGTTTAAAGGCATTCTTCATGCTGACGTTGAAGTCATCATCTCTCCCATCTTCTATATCCACCACCTCATATTTATCCATGTCAATGCGACCTTTGTAGTATAGGATATCTCTTCGTATCAGGTCCTAGGTGAAAAAGAGGGACGGGTTTACTTCTAAGTAGACTGAAGTCTATCTCATGAGATACATACTAAGTCTCAGTTCAGTTGACATTTCACAGTCCTCTTGAAGTGCTGAACTGAAAGAGTTAATATTCAAAATATGATCTAATTCTTACAACTTAATTTGCTGTAAAGAATAGTATTGCTGGCTAAGTGAACAGGATAGACAAAGGCTACAGAGGACAGAATGTGAAACTGGTATATTCCTTAAACTTTAGGAGAAAAAAATATAATTTGCTTGCACTTAGGAATTAACTGCCCCAACTGAGTTGTTTATTCTGTAAGTGTCCATTACATGGAGGGTTCATAAAAAAGTTCATGATTTTTTTTTTAAGTAAAAAATATTTTAAAAATGTTATTTAAATTATAATACATGTTTCTTCTATTAATAGCTATTAAAATGAAATCTGAATTTAATAAAAATATGTTGTTATAATGTTTTAAAAATGCAAATAAAAACTAAACATGCAGAATCCATTGGAACTCAATATGAACAAAAACAAGAAGAGATGGAATGAAATCTATTCATTTAAAATGTCTGAAGGATAAATCGTTTAGGAATAACTTAGGAAATATGTTGGGAATTCTTCTGATTTTCCCAAGCCTCAGGCAAATAGCAATAGGAGTCTGTCACTTTAAATTAGGCATATTTGAATAATTTCCCAGGCAGGCCTAAACTAAATGGTGCAATTCCCTGACTACAGTTAATCTTTCTGTTCAATAAATCATTTAGCTGTAAGTGTGAAACTTGTTTTGATAAGAAAAGTTGATGCCTCCAAAACAGTTCAGTTGGTTTGTTTAAGAACAATAAATTTTATAGGCTGTTTTGTATGTTTAATTAAATTCCAGTTACCATCATAATGCAGTTGCTTGACACAAATCATGAGCAAAAGGCAAGTTATCCAGTAAATGAGCAATAATCAAACACCATTTTCTAACATAGTAAAATGTGGAATCAGTAAGTATATGAAATATTAAGCTATATAACTGCTTAAATAAATGTTTATAGTTAGAGTGTACCCTTCAAACACATAAAATACCTTCCTAAGTGGCAAAAAGATGTACCAAATCTAGTGCAAAGGCCCTATTTACATGTTATTCTACACACTTTAATAGTTATATCAACCAAGAACAATGCCTTTTCTTAAGAAATTAACTGAAGAACAAATGGAATAAATGCATTTAAAGCAATCATTTTTATTGAGGCTGGGGATTGAAATTAGATTACTTGAATTGTTTTGATTTAACTTAATCCATCATGATTATATGGGGTTTGCATCTTCTCACTGTCTCTGTTGCACAGATAACTGGACAACATAGGCCACTGGCCAATCCAGTTCACGTGCTCCTCAAGAAGAGATATTGAAGAGGAAACCTTATGGGCATTTTCTACAAATGTCCCCAGTAATGCAGACCTGAGAATGCAGAATCATAGAATCATAGAAAATTAGTGTTGGAAGGGACTTCAGGTTGTCATCTAATCCAACCCCTTGCTCAGAGCAGGTCCATCTCCAACTATCATAGAATCATGGAAAAGTAGGGTTGAATGGGACCTCAAGTCAGGCTCATCCCTAAACCATTCTAAACAAGTATTTGTCTAACATGTTCTTAAAATTTTGGGACCAACCCTCACACGTGGCTATTAGGCAAACTGGTGAAAACATCAAAACCACCCTTCAGCTTACCACAGGAAAAGCAGGGGGACAAGTGCACTGTCATGTTCTACCACTGCAAGGACAGGAATAGTTTGTTGCTCAAGAGATCCAAGGCAGATGATCAAACCAGTTCTAAATGTCACAAGAGGTGGGGTTTCTATCACTTTCCTCATACAAACTTCCCTGCTGGGAAAATTATCCTCATATTCACTCCAAATTAGATTTAGCTCAACTCCATTCAAATATTCCTAACCCGCTGGACGCTTCATACCTTCCTTTTTACTCATTGGTGTTTATAGTCCCCACTACCATATTTGATTGTGGGCATTTATAGATGTGCTCCAGAGGTGCGTGTGTGTTTGGGGGGGGGGGGGGAGTTGTTTTAATGAGCACAGATCTGAGAGCTGAACTAATTCAAAGTCCCCAGAGCATCATGTGCATCAGTGCCCCAGCAATGAAAAATGGCAGCATGGCGCTTTGAACTGAAGCTTATCAAACAAGCTTTATTTTAAAGTGCCCCTGCCACCATTTTTCAGCATAGGGATGCTGATATATGTGAATCTGGAGTCTCCCGGAGTGTGGTAATTACCACTCCAGCAGACTCAATTAATCGAGTCTGCTGGAGCGCTGTAATTAAATGACGTCAGAGCAACCTCCCTGCACATGTATAAGCCTCTGTGGCTTTCCTCTAACCCTTTATTTGTCTATGGCCCTTTGACCTCTCTTTACTAGGTTGGAGGCAGGAAAGAAAGCCATCATTATTTATATATTGATGTCCACACTTCATTCATTTATTCCTTTCATGTCCTTTATGTCAACTTCATACTGAATCTTATATGTATCCTGGTGATAGCAAAATTGTACAGTACAAATAATTCGGTGGAGCCCAAGATAAGCAGGCTTCCTCTATGGGTCCCCCAGAGGAAGACTATGGGCCAGATCCTATTTATCCTTCATGTGCATAGTGTCAGGTATGTAGCTGCATAACTTCATTTTTTTGGCACTTACACATAGTTTGGGATTCAGCAATGCTCATGGAAGTCTCCTGAGCATGGTCAGTTGGGCTGTGCTACAGCCAAGCAGCTGCCCAGGGAAAACCTGGGCAGGCATGTAAGGCTGAACAAGTCCCCGTGTGGGAGGATCCTCCTACCTTTTAGCCTAGTGGTTAGGTCTCTTGCCCAGGGAATAGGGAACTCCTATTTTAAGCACCCCTCATCCAGGGGGGTTTTGAACCTTCTTGTCCTGCTTCTCAGTAAAGTATTCTAACCACCAGGCCACAAACTAGGCATTAGACATGGTCCTCTCTCCAGATGTCCTCTTGGATCTGGGCCATTAAGATGCAGCCAAGAGAAAACGTGTTCCAGAGCATTTGTGGCCCAGTGAGCTGGATGCTGCCCTGAAAAGGATCTGGGGCTCTGAGTTAGGTCCATCTTCCTAGTGGGGAAGAAACCTACCCAGTATTTTTTATCAAATTGATATTAATTGGAAAATAAAAGCAAGCCAACTTTAAGAGGTCCGGGCAATGTCAAACCCAGGTGTTCTCTACCTTTTTTAAACTCAAGGCACCTATGGATAGACTCAAAGCACCCGTCAGTCAATTCCAACTCTCGATTTTCACCAAAAAAATAATAGAGCGGTTTTTCTGTTGTAAATAAGTCAGAAAGACCACAACAATGGATTTCTTTTGTAATCTCTGGGTTTATCTTGGGAACCATGTTTGTAAACCAAGCAGTCCTAATATTGTGTGGCAACCTGGGGCATCCTTGAAAGAATCTCAAGGCATCCCAGGATGTTGTGGCACCCTGGCTGAGAACCACTGGTCTAGCCTGTGACTCTGTGGTTAGAGAGAAGTTTCAGCCTCCTCTGGGACAGAGGGTCTAGAACCTTGATTTTTTACTTTCTGGGTAACAGCCTCAGCCACTGCATTACTGGGCTGAGGTAAGAGTGTCCTCCTCCTAGGCCAGGGGTGGGCAATTATTTGGCCTAGATGGACACTTAAGGAGTTTTGGTGAGTTATCATGGACTTGGTCAGCACCCCTTTCCCTTGGCCCCCTCCCCTTGGCCTGCATCAGCTCACTAAAACCCCTTAAGTGTCCCTCCAGGTGTTGTGGGTGCAGGGCAGTCAGGGCCAGGGTACTCCAGCAGCAGGACTGGGTCTGGCAGCCTCAGTGGAGACTGGCAGCAGCAGCTGGAAGGAGCTGCCAGTGCAGGGGCTGCTGAGAAGTGACTCTGGCCACCATGCCACCCCAGCCCCACTGCGTGCCCAGGAGTGGCAGGACCTGCTCCCTGCACCTGGGCCAGGCTGGGCTGCTACAGGCTGGATAAAATCCCTTGGTGGGCCATATTGTGCCTGCGAGCTGTATTTTGCCCACCCCTCTTTTCGGCAGTGTGATTCTATTTCCACTAGGAGAAAACAGAATCCCAAACTGTGCAAAAATGTCCAGTTTCCCAAAATTGCAGCTTTATGGATCTCCACCTGCTAATCAGGCATGTGAAGAGCAAATAGGATGTGGCCCTAAGGGACTTAACCTTAACATTGACATAAGATGTCAGTGGCATGAAACTGAACTCAAGCCTCCCACTTTCCAGGCTAGTACCTTTAGCATCAGGCTAAACCTGCTTCCTCTAGAGTTTGCTGACCCACTTGATGGGTCTAGCAGATCCCAAGCCTCATTCCTCCTGCTGCTTTTCTCACTGTGATCTACATCAGCTGCTCTAGTTCCTTTGACAGAGCCATGCAATGGGCTCGCTGCAGTTGCTTGACAGATTGCAGGCACGTGTCACTAAATAGGTATTTTGAGAGCTGTTATGCTCGCTGCTTAAACACAGGTGTGAAATGTAGGTGTTGATGAGTTGTGGCAAAAAATTATATTCAGACATTCTTCTCTCACCCTCTCCCCTCTGCTTGCTCCCACATTAGAAGACAGAAAATAGATACCTTGGAGATCTCATTTTCTCTTGCATTAGTTGTAAGTAACATTTTCAATGGTGTGTCATGGAGCTATTTCTGATTCACATGGATGTAACTAAGAGGAGAGTCAGGCTCCCTGAATAACATATTAGTATTTATACAAACCGAGCATAAAAAGCCAAGTCATCAAAAATAGGAAATTGATCATTCAGAGGCATGATGTTATAAGGAGAACAAAGTTATAAGGCATTCATATTTAAACAGCCACTTTTAACAAAAAAAAATTAAAACTATGCCCTTTTTCCAGGAGTTATAAACCAATACTCAAAGACATAAAATTCATGTAACTTGACCATTTAAACAGCAAGCTGCCTTTTTTCTCTATGAGAACACTTTTCA